GGTATTTTATCTTGATTCCCTGATTTCACTGGGTATTTTTTTTGCCAACCCTTAATTTTCAGGGTTGGGCTTTTTTGAACCCTAACCTCTTCAGGGTTGTATGTCTGTGAACACTTAGAATTTCAGGGTTTGCGTTATCCCAAAACTGAGTTTTCAGGGAGTAACGCGTACGAACCCTGAATGCGACATCCAAGCGGACCCTGAGTTTTGGCGAAATGGCCCCCTTACGCGTGACGGGTCCCAGTCCATTGAATACGCCCAGCATGCGTCGCGTGGAGAATTTGCACTTGGCAATATTCCCACCATGTACACGCAGTATGTTGCCATTTCAGCAATATTTCCAACCGTTAAGTGTGGGATGGTGCACTCCGTCATGCCCCAGCCTGGCATTCGTGACTCAGCACGCAGCAAATGAAGACAGAATATGCTGAGCGCTGCAATGTCAGCCTCTGTATGACATCACATCGCCAATCATCTCTGTGCAGACGATGCCAGCGCAGGTGCGTCCCGCCGTTGACGGTGTCGCCATGGCGATGTGGGATGTTGGATGGGTTATTCACCGTTCATGAAAATCGAAATCTGGGGTTTCTTGGTCCCCATCCCATCTTCTTCACCAGCTTCTCCCCCAACCCAGTTTCCTCCTTTTCTTCACATCACAGATACGAGATGCTCCATTCTTGTTTCTCGTCCACTTTCGTCGCGTCGATTTCTCGTTTCGATCGTATCCGCCGCTACTAGCCATGGCGGATGTAGGAGAGTCTGGTGAGTCTCCCGCTGCCGATGATGGTTGTGGACTAGGTAGGGACCCCCCCGTGGAGGTCCGTAGATCCGCTCTAGACAACTTACGGTCTCCCACCGCAGTCGTTACACCATCACAACCTTTATCTACTCCCGCTCCCTATGTACCTCCGCCCGCTGTCGCTTCATCTAGCCGGGGCCCTTGGGTTCCGGACTGCGAAACAGCCACGACCGTGCGTTACACGGTCGAGTGTGCTTGCACGATTTCATCTGGGAAAAAGGCACGCATCGGGAAGTACACCCAGAGCACGATATTCCTCGGCGGGAAGCTACGTCAACCGTCGCCGCCTCGCACGTCGCCTGAACCTCAGGCCCCTGCTATTCCAGAACCCGAGCCGCCAAAGCTCTCGAACAAAGAACTCATCGAGCAGAAGTATCTCATGGCTGAGCACAAGTATAAGACCAGCTGGCTTCCATTTTTCCCTTGGCTTCTGCTAACGAAAACGAAAGACGGTTACCCTGCGTTGAAGTGCAGTGTGTGCAAGGCTTTCGGCAAAGAGACAACACCGTACTCCAACAGCCGCGATGGGGCACGTGACCTGCAGACGCAAGCGATGCGGTTCCACGAACACACGACAGCCCACGAAGTAGCAGTCAAGCGTCAGATGGAGATCGCCGAAGACATCGCCAGCACCCAGAGGCGCATGGAGAATTACGCGCGGATTGACATCGAGGGGAAGCGCGTCATGAGGCTCCTACGCTGCGTCGACTTCCTGTGCAAGTGTGATGCACCCATCAGCATGTACCCGAGGCTACTTCGCTTCATGGCCGAGCAGGAGACCCCGGACATTCCGCTGCAGTCTTACGGAGTCTACTTGACATGGTAGTGCACTGATTCGAAGTACACCATATCCTTCATTTTTTTAATAGGTCTAACAAAAACCATGTTGCTACTTCTGCTACTACAGGTATGGCTTCTGTCAGCTCGTCAGCAGCTTGGCATCCTACCTGCAGTGCCGACAAATGCTATACATTCTCGCCTCACCCTACCTTGGCATCAGCTGCGACGAGAGCACTGACCGTACTCGCGGTAAACATTTGATTGTTTATCTAACCTTCTTGCGTGCGCTTTGTGTTGTCACACAGTTTTTTGCTCTCTTGACCGTCGAAAAGTGCGACGCCGCGTCTCTCCTCGCCGTTCTTCTGGCTCACTTGCGAGCAACTGGCATCGACCTCTCCCAAATCACCGGCATGAGCACCGATGGCGCCTCTGTCATGGTCGGCCGAGACAATGGTCTCGTCGCCCGACTTCGCGAGCACATCCCCCATCTCGTCTCTTCGCACTGCATCGCGCATAGGTTTAACCGCTTGTCATTTCAGTCGCTTAGGTTTCCTACAACTACTTGCCTAAAATTCCTTTATGTGCACCATGCAGGGAAGCCTTGGCGGTGAAGGACGCCGCCACTGCTTCTCCAGACTTTGACATGGTCGACCTTGTGATTCGAACTCTGGCCGATCTTCTGGGAAGTTCATGTGTCTGGAGTCAACGCTTCAAGTACCTGCAGCGGGCAATACACAACACCAACCTTGAAGTGCAAGGAATTCACACCGTGCGCTGGCTTTCAAGGGGTGAGGCTGTGCGACGCCTCTGTAAGGTCCTTGGCGCCGCTATTATTCTGTTTCATGAGTACGGGCATGAGCTGTGTGAAGTCGTCATCTGTTACAAGTTCCACTTCTGTCTTTTTTTCTGGCGGACGTGCTCGGAGTGATGAATGAGCTCAACCTTAAATTCCAGGAGAGGGAGGTGAGCTTCTACCAATGTGCATGTTGTAGTACTTATCCCATGCATGCATGTTTGGAATCACCCTCTAAGTCCACTCCCTTGTCTGTCACTTCCACCAGGTCGATGTCACCGAAGTGACGAAGGACATCGACGAGGTGACAGGGGACCTCCGCCACCGCTACCTGGAATGCGGAGAGGTGTTCGGTGCGGGGGTCGAAGGCACGTGGCTTTCGGCTTTCTTGGCCGTCTACGGGCGCGGAGGGAACAAACGTGTAAAGGTGCGGGGCATCGACAAGGACGGCAGCCCAGTCACGCACACCTACACCATGCACGAGAAGCAGATCGACGGACATGCCTTCCGCAGCAAGTACCCCGATTGCGAGCGGCTCTGCGCGCAGTTCGCGAAGGACTCGATAAGCTTCCTGAAGACGAGGATGCTGGACCTGAACAATCTCGGCCCGACGAAGCTCTTCCGCGTCTCGAAGTGGCCCCGGATGAAGCAGCAGAGAGAGAAGACGCTGAAGGAGTACCTACATGGTTGCAGTGCCTTTTTCGACAACATGCTGACAGGCTTTTCCTTGCAAGCTGCGCAGATGGACCTGGTTACGTGGGCGCCACTGATGCTGAGCCACCATGCCGACGAGGGATTCCATCAAGACCTGACAAACAACCTCGGCTCGACGGAGTCGACCTTGTGAGAGACTGCTGTTCGAAGGACGTTTGTTGCATGTTTTCTTGCCGGTTCTAATCTTCCCATTGGAAGTTGTTGTTTATCGCTTGTTTACTAGTTGCACTAATGCACTGGTCTTGTTCTTTGCACTCTATTCCCCAAACCCTTTTGGCAGGCGCTGGCCGAACCTCATGCGCTTGTGGCAGGCGTACGCTGTCCTGCTGCTTAGCACAGTGGAGTGTGAACGAGGCTTCTCGTGGCAGAACGTCATCAAGTCATGGGTGCGGGGCGCGTTGTGCAATGCGCGCCTGAGCGAGCTGATGGTCATTTCCCTGCTGCAGTATGAGATTGACTGGGACGAGGCCCTTGAGTGTTGGCGCGAGAAGCTGAGGCGCCCTGCTAAGTCTGTTCTGTTTGCCTCAGCGGAGAGGAAGCGTAAGGCCAAGGCGATCGAGGGGGCAGAAGGGAGGGTGGAGGAGGAGGCAGTCCCCGACTACATGGGGGATTGGGCAGAGGATGAGGGAGAGGAGAGGGTAGAGGGGGGAGAGGCTCCTCCTGAAGTGGAAGACAACCCGTTTCTGCCCGATGACGAGGCAGAGGACGATGTGAACATGGATGGCCCAGAATTTTAGTTAAGGGTAGCTAGTGGCATGGAATCTTGTAAAGTCTAGACTAGATAGAGGACTTCACTGAATTTGTAGACTGTCGTAGTGGACCTTTTGCTAAACTACTAGCTGTACAATCCTAACGTTCTCTTATCTGTTTTTTTCAATTGCAAAGCAACCCTGTTTGTGGCTAGCCAACCCTGGAGGTTTCAGGGTTGCATGTTCCAGAACACTGAGAAATCAGGTGTTGGAAATATCTCAAGAACTTAAGCGTTTCTGAAGTGTAACACTACACTCGAGGAAAGTCATAACGGGTATGCGAGTCAACGGAGGTTACACGAGGGGACGGACAAAAAACACAAAAGGACACGAAGGGTCGCAACCGGAGGTTGCGACTGACCATTACAACTGCAAGGATGGTAACAGAACCGTCAATCGAGTCGCTGTGCGACTCGATAAACCGCTCTTTCAACTGTATTCTTCAACTGCTTTACTTTCCTACTTTCTATATATTACTTTCTATATATTGCCGTATGCTTGTTTCTTTCAATCAATTACTTGTTCTCATATACCAGTACAAGGGTTCAACTACTCAACTTCCGCTGCACTACTCAAGTCTCCTTTTACAACTGGGACTTAGTCTCTGGAAAGATCCCAAGGGCTTTTTTCTCAGCCCAACATCAGGGAAGCCAAATTTTCAACACAAGGCCCTCAGGGTAAAAAAAAATCCCCATTTGACAGCTCAGGGTGCTTTTTTTTTAAACGTCAGCCCTGTGTGGGAGGGCTGGGCTCGGGAGTCAAACTTCCAGTACAGTTCTCTATGATCGCATTCAACGCAACATATCCATTCATGCCAAAGTAGTGTTTCATATTGGTTTATAAAAACCTAATTACTCCGTGTCGCCTGTGTGATTTTGGCCTAATTACTCACACCTCCTTCAGCTCGCATCGGACTGCTCGTGTGATTTTGGCAGAGGACCAATTACGCCCCTCACATCTGCTCCAGCTTACGTCACCTGTGTCATTTTGGCGAAGGTCCAGTCACGCCCCTCACACCTGCTCCAGCTTGCGTCAAACTACTTGCGTCATTTTGGCGGAAGGACCAGTCACGCCCCCCCAGACCTGCTCCACCTTGGACTACCTGTGTCACGCCCCTCACACGTGATCCTGCTCGCCTCAAACGTGGAGCAATCAGATAGAATTATCTCACTTATGGAAAAAATAGTGTGCCAAACAAACGGATGCGCCTACATCTGGGGGATTGCGGTGGGACCTTGATAAATAGCAGAGGGAACTCTAGCCTACTCCAACTAGGGTTGCTGTGAGTTTCATCTGAACCCTGCACCTGTAAGGGCAGCAAGCAATTCATGTGCCACTATTGGTTTCCTCACTGCTCCATCCATTCCCACCTCCAAGCATGCTCTCTTCACTCCTGCATCCAAGTCAGCAGTCAGTGCTATAATGCAAAGACGCTGCCCTGGTGCCATTGTTTCCATGCTTGAAGCATCTGCAGGAGTCATTTCTGCTTCTTCAGTTGCTGCAGCATTAGCTGCGATTCCTTGTACTTTAGGCATCTGCTGTGCGCTCTCCATGGCACGGATTTGACGAGCTGTCTCAAACCTAAAATCACCAAGGAGCTCAATACGCGGGCAAAGGAAGGAACAAGGAGAGTGGAGAAGGATGTGTGGAACACAGGAGAGCAGATAAGAGGCACATGTACAAGTCACAACTGAACCGAGGCACTCACCCGTCCATGCCGGGCGGCATGTGGAGGTCGAGCAGCAGCAGGTGGATTGGCGAGGAGGGAGAGGGAGTGGAGAGAGCTTGGAGAGCGTCCTCCCCTGAGCAGAGCAGCAGCACGTGTGCCCCGTAGCCCTGCAGTGTTCTGCGCGCCACCATGCGGTTCACAGCGTTGTCATCCACCACTGCCACCCGCTGCCCCGCCAGCACACCCTTCAGCAACGCCTCCGCCCCCTCTGGCCCCATGCTGCTTTCCATCTCCATCCGCGGGAAAGTGTGCGCATGCACCAAGGATCGGGCCCCTGCTGCCTGCTGCTGCTGCTGCGGGGGTGCTGGTTTTGTTATGAGGGCAGGATCAGACCCATTCTCTCGCACCACAGGCTCCCCCACAGCCCTTCTGCTGTCCGCGCCCTCCCCCACCCCCATGGGCAGAGCCAGCAGAATGGTGGTGCCTGTGGTGGCGTCTGAGAGCACTGCCATACCCCCCCCCATCTCAACCACCTGCAGGTAGGGGGTGGGGGGGTGGAGAGTGGGGGGAGTGGGGTGAGAGTAGAGGGTAAAAAGGCAGGGCAGAGCAAATGATTTTAATTAAAATTATTTGATTTTAAAAGTTGGGAGGGAAGACCTACGTGTGCCCCTGCGGCGAGAGGAGGGCTACTTCTTCCCCCTGGCTGTAGAGACCTACAGTTCCCCCTCGCTCCCCCCTGGCTGTAGAGACCTACAGTTCCCCCTCTCTCCCGCACACGTAGGTCTCTGCAGCCAGGGGGCACGGCTTCAATCTGTCCAGTTCTGTTTCTTCATTTCTCTTCGAAACGAGTGGGAGAGAGAGGAGAGCAACCAAGGGGTATATAGCCACAGCCTCGCTTGCTCCGCTCATTTCTCTTCTAAACAAGCGGCTCGTGCCGGCGGCCTTTGAAATAATTCAAGAAGTTGTTTGAGTAATAGAAACAGGAGCATACATAGGAAAGTTGGGAAGGAAGGGAAGCTAGCAAGAGAAGGATGAACAGTGCCACATGCAGTTGGGTAGAAACAGTACCCAACCACCATGGGAGCCACTTGCGTGGTCCCAATATTGTGGTCTTGGTGCTCGGGGGCTCCAACCACTCCAGGGTTGGATTTGCACCCCTTGCGCTTTGATGTGTACACCACAGGTTGGTGTACACCTAGCTAATATACTACTCGAGCATGTTACAATAGATATATATAATCTAACAGCCTTCGGCCGCCGTCGCTCGCCCTGCGGCCTCTGGCCGGGGATTAGGGGACGGGATCCGACAGCACATGACGGGATCCGACAGCACATGACGGGATCCGACAGCACATGACGAGATCCGACAGCACATGCCGGGATCGACAGCACATGACGAGATCCGACAGCACATGCCGGGATCCGACAGCACATGACGAGAACAACGCGGGAAGTCCTCCAATATGGCAAGTACAAAACAGCAGGGGGGGCAAGGCCGTGTGGAGCGAAAAATAACAAGTGCCTAGGCGGCATGACCGAGCAAGGGACGGCCGGCGAGGCGGCTCCTCAGGGGCGGTCGCCATACGTCCTACGCCGCCGATCGGAAATCGTGCACCTCCTCGGCGAGGATCTGGAGGAGCTCGCTGGCAGCCTCCTGGATCGTGAGCGCCTCCCCGTCATCCACGGCAGCCCACATGGCACACACCCCCGAGGTCAACGGATCCGTCCGAGGATGGTTCGGCCGCTGGCAGTCACCGGAGCACCCCTGCTCCCAATGCCGCCACGCGGCTGCCTCAACCACCTTCTTCAACTGGGGAGGGGTCAGCACGACGCGACCAGCGGGAAGTGGGGACCAGCGGGAAGTGGGGACCAGCGGGAAGTGGGGACCAGCGGGAAGTGGGGACCAGCGGGAAGTGGGGACCAGCGGGAAGTGGGGACACCCGCATTGCCGCTGAGGTGTGCCTCAGCACAAAGGCTGTCGCCCGGGAGATCATCCCCTACAGACGGATCCCGTGGACAAGGCTGTCCCGGGACTGCCCTGGAAGAACTAAAGGAGGCGGGGGCAGGTCTGACGGAGGAAGGGGGGGCAGCGATGTCAAGCGACTCAGAGGGATCGGCGTGGGAGGGGGAGGATGGCTCATAGGCAGGGGGGAGTAGGGCGTCCCCCAGGGGCTGGGAGGAGCTGATGCCGCCCGACACGCAGTTGGCGTCATGGGGTTCGGGCTGGGATCTGACGACGCCAAGGGCGACACCCCCAGGGGGCACGATCACTCACCGCCGTCCACCCTCAACACGCCCTCAACACGCCCTCAACACGCCCTCAACACGCCCTCAACACGCCCTCAACACGCCCTCAACATGCCCTCAACATGCCCTCAACACGCCCTAAACACGCCCTCAACACGCGCTCAACACGCCCTCAACACGCCCTCAACACGCCCTCCTCCTCATCTCCCGCTGCGTCAACCGCCCAGTGGGCTTCCTCCTCCGCACCACGCCCGCCGACGTCATTCCGCACGGGGAATGGCGGAACTGGAGTGAGTCCCTCCTGCTCACGGCCCTCGCGGCCAGCCGCCTGCATCACCTTTGGCGAGCTGTGGAGGGGGAACTCCTCTGGCGCCAGGCTACTCTCCCAATCGCCTTGGGTGGCCTGGGCCTGACCGACCCCACGTCAGCGGCTGGATCGGCTTACCTGGCGTCCACCACGGAGGCACACCACCTCCTCCAGTCCCTAGACCTCCAGTCCCTGGACCTCACCCCTCGCAGGAGTGGCTGCTCTCCTCCATCCCTCTGAATCACCCATCACCAATACCCTCAGGGACTTGGAGGCGCGGTTGCCGGACAGTGGCCGGCTCCTCCTCCGCGAGGAGCGCTCAGAGAGGACCTTGGCCCACCTGCAACATAGCCTCTCCATGGAGGTGAACGCTGCCCGGGCGGAGGATCTCCCCTCTGATTCGCAGCACGTCGTCTCCTCCCCCGAGATGGGCCACCCTCTCCGACTCATCAGCCTGCGAGGACCGGGAGCAGGCGATTGGCTCCACGCTATCCCCTTGTCCCCGGACCCTCGCCAGGGCAGTTCTCCACAGCCCTGACCTTCCGCCTAGGCCTACGGATGAACGTGCCGCTTGTGTGTGCGCGTGCTGACCTGCTCAACCACTGCAGCCTCCCCAACCATCTCCTTCGCTGCGGACATGGCCCGGACAGGACACGCACACACAACCAGTGGGCCTTGGCCTTGGTGAAGACGGCAAGGGAGGCACAGCGGGTGGTGGCCTCGGAGAACGCCGTGAACTCACCGTCTCACGACCCCAAGCCAGCTCACGTTATCGTGCGGGACGCCAAGTCAGGAGAGACCTGGATCACTGATGTTACCATCACTGATGTTACCATCACTGATGTTACCATCACTGATGTTACCATCACTGATGTTACCATCACTGATGTTACCATCACTGATGTTACCATCACTGATGTTACCATCACTGATCCGGTCCTGCAGAACCGGGACCCACAGGCCCGTAAACCGCCGGGCTGGGCAGCAAGGGAGGCGGCAAGGAGGAAGGAGTATGACTACCGCCACCGGCCAGAGTGGGGTTCTCTGCTCTGGCGGTAGGGCGAATGCACCGCCCCGCCCACGATGGAGTTCCTGGGCACTATTGCGGCTGCTGCCGCCAGGCACCGCTTCACAGTTGACCCCTTGGCCAGAACGGCCAAGAAGGTCAACTCGCACTTCTGGCAACGTTGGTCTGTTATGCTCCAACACTGCCAACCAAATGCGCTCCACGTCAAGGCACGCGAAGGCATTGTGGCAGCACACCCCCAAGCCCTGGCAGACCCATGGCCGCTTCACCTAGGGGACCTTCTTCAGACGCTGGAGGCGGAATAGGGGGCGGACTTGGGGAGTGGAGGGGGTCAGTAGTTGAGGTTGCCCTTCCTGTTGAGCTCGTGCCCTGTCACACCCGCCCTGTCACACCCGCCCTGCCACACCCGCCCTGCCACACCCGCCCTGCCACACCCGCCCTGCTATACTCTGGCTGCCCAGTCATACACGGACCGCTCGAGGGAAGTGTTAGAATTGAACGGATGAGTTGCACAGAAAGATGCAAGGGTTTACATAGGAGTAGGGTTGAGCAAAACCGGGTATTTACCCGACCCGACCCGGTTTTGCAATACCCGACCTCGGGTCGGGTATTTTCGGCTCGGGTCCGGGTCGGGTAATATGCCCAGGACCCTTACCCGGACCCGGCCTTAGGGGACTGGTAATACAATACCCGCGTGGCGGGTCCGGGTATACCCGACCCGGTTACCCTGAAAAACGGGCATTAGTACCCGCCACCTACTAGTGGGCGTTCTAAAAACGGGCTAGACTAGGTAGGGTTTCTCAAAACGCGACTCTCAAATGAGAGTCACGTTTTCTGGGGGCGGAATTGCGCGGCTCCGCGAGACCGCGTCCTCAATTAACATTTTCTACCCGTTTTGCTCACGGCCCGGGCAACCCCGATCTCGGATAAATATTTTCTACGCGCGAGTCGGGAAATGCGAAAGTTACGGAATTTGAAATTGTGTGAACTGTATTTGGGATTTAGTGATTGCCCGTGAATTACCAGCCAATTGGACAGGCATCCGTAACAGTACTGCCACACTTCAACAGTGCTGCAAGGGGGAGATACGATTCCTACTCAGAAGGGCACTGGCGTGCATGAATGTGCAGTCGGGCGGTGTACTGTCATTGAGGGTCGACAAGAACTCACGAAACCTCGTTGAATGCGGTTCTCTGTCCATTCCCCGAAATCGTGGGATGAACATGGACACACTTGGGCGAACGAGTTCGCTAGTCAGGTTTTGCAGATCCCTAGAAAATGTTGTCGTTAATAACACCCTTCTCTGAACATTTCATGGCTTTCACATTTGAATGTGGGTGCTTAAAAAATTATGAACGCAGCTTGGAGTTCGCGGAATGTTGTTGGTTTCGCGGAGCTCACATTTCATTGTTTTTTTACCGGCATAAAATACATAGGGAGGGATGCTATGAATTTCTGCCGACAATCTAGAACCTTTCACGCTTGTTGAGAAACTGTCGTGGCTGCACTGTGGAATCTGGGCAGATGCAAACGAGATTTACGCGAGAAAACACGAGATTTCATGGATTCTCCTGAAGACTCATGCCCCAAAGCTCAACTTCCGCCACTAGCTAAACTCCACGCGAAACTGGATAGCCCTGTCATAATTTCGGGCCATCATTTCGGGCAAGGGAAACATGAGAGTTCGTGCACCACCACGAGAACTCACGAGAACACATGCACCGTTACCTCAATTCGCGCCACTACCATAAATGTACAGCCACGTCATCATGTAGCGCTAGAAGTTGAACCAAGTGACGAACACTGCATCCTGCCAATTGGCCTTTGAATCCATGTGCAGAAATGTACGTCTTGTTTCAGCGGAATCGATACAGACAGGCGACAAATTCCCCGCCAGGTCCTTTACAACTCTCAACTGTTAGAAACGCGGAAGGCGAAAAACGGTCGAAGCAGCCCAAAAGACCTCACGTAATCAAAAACGCATTTCCCGACTCGCGCGTAGAAAATATTTATCCGAGATCGGGGTTGCCCGGGCCCTGAGCAAAACGGGTAGAAAATGTTAATTGAGGACGCGGTCTCGCGGAGCCGCGCAATTCCGCCTTTTCTGGGGGTCGAATTTTGACCACCCAACTCCCTCCCTTTCACCGCACTGAACTCCTCCCCATCTACAAACTCCAATTTCCAACCAAACTCCCTCCATTTCACCGCACTAAACTCCTCCCTGTCTACAAACTCTAACATTTCCAACCAAACTCCCTCCCTTTCACCGCACTGAAGTCCTCCCCGTCTACAAACTCCAATTTCCAACCAAACTCCCTCCCTTTCACCGCACTGAACTCCTCCCTGTCTACAAACTCCAACATTTCCAACCAAACTCCCTCCCTTTCACCGCACTGAACTCCTCCCCGTCTACACACTCCAATTTCCAACCAAACTCCCTCCCTTTCACCGCACTGAACTCCTACCCATCTACAAACTCCAACCTTTTCTCCAACCTCGCCAAACTCTCTCCCTTTCACCACACTTAACTCCTCCCCATCTACAAACTCCAACTTCTCCTCACAAATGCTCCACTCGTCCCCCCTCGCCTCCCATTCCGTTTTCCCGCAAAACCTAAATCACAGCGCGACTTACACCCATGTCTAATGGAATACCCGACCTCGGGTATTATTTACCCGACCGGGTCGGGTACCCGTTAACCGACACGTCGGGTAGCGTTTCAGGTAACGGGTATCGAATACCCGCCCGGGTAACCCGGACCCGACCCGCCGGGTAATAATCCGGAATCCCGATACCCGACCCGCCCAAAAAGCGGATCCGGGTCCCGGGTAGGGTACCCGACCCGGCCGGGTATTTTGCTCAAGCCTACATAGGAGAAGGGAAGAAGGGTCAATTTTAGGTGCGCTAGGTTTGACCAACCTCAACATAATTGGTTGGGTTGACACCCTTCTTGGGGTGATCAATAATCATTGGAGTGGCCAACATTCTTGAGGGGCCAATAATGGCTGGGGTGACCAACATTCTTGAGGGGCCAATAATGGCTGGAGTGACCAACTATCTTGAGGGGCCAATAATCTGGAGTGACCAACCTTATTGAGGGGCCAATAATGGCTGGAGTGGCCAACATTATTGGTCCAACAATGGTGGTCAACAGGCTGGGGACTCCAACCACAAAGGGTTTGAAAGCCGCCCTAGCAGACCCAACAACTGGTGTACACCTATTGTTCTAGCCTTAGCATGCAACATTTTAACAGGAAGGCCAGATGGAAAGAAGGGCAAGAGTTTCGGGGCAGAGAGAGGGGAGGGCAGGAGAAGAGAAAAAAGCGAAGTGGGTAACGAGGAACGACAAGACGAGGAAGATGAGAGGCAAACATTTCAGGAGGCTGTAAACAGGAAGGGAGGGGAAGGGCGAACTGGGGAAAGGAGGACGGCGATATGACTGTAAGAAAGAGTTGGATACTAACAAGGGGGGTTCCAGACCTTCACAAGGGAGATTGAGGCACTCACAAGGGAGGTTGAGGCACTCACAAGGGAGATTGAGGCACTCACAAGGGAGGTTGAGGCACTCACAAGGGAGATTGAGGCACTCACAAGGGAGATTGAGGCACTCACAAGGGAGGTTGAGGCACTCACAAGGGAGGTTGAGGCACTCACAAGGGAGGTTGAGGTACTCACAAGGGAGGATGAGGCACTCACAAGGGAGGTTGAGGCACTCACAAGGGAGGTTGAGGCACTCACAAGGGAGGTTGAGGCACTCACAAGGGAGGTTGAGGCACTCACAAGGGAGGTTGAGGCACTCACAAGGGAGGATGAGGCACTCACAAGGGAGGTTGAGGCACTCACAAGGGAGATTGAGGCACTCACAAGGGAGATTGAGGCACTCACAAGGGAGGTTGAGGCACTCACAAGGGAGGTTGAGGCACTCACAAGGGAGGTTGAGGCACTCACAAGGGAGGATGAGGCACTCACAAGGGAGGATGAGGCACTCACAAGGGAGGATGAGGCACTCACAAGGGAGGTTGAGGCACTCACAAGGGAGGATGAGGCACTCACAAGGGAGGATGAGGCACTCACAAGGGAGGATGAGGCACTCACAAGGGAGGTTGAGGCACTCACAAGGGAGGATGAGGCACTCACAAGGGAGGATGAGAGAAGGAAACGAATGGGGTAGGGCGTCCAGCGGGGGCGGGCAGCAGCCTTGCGGTCGTGGTGCAAAGGATCCCATGAGGCGCGCTCCCTTTGCCGCCATGATGCCGCCCGCCCCGAAGACCGCCACGATTCCGACCTCTCAAACGACCGGATTCTCTCCTGACAAGTCAGCAAGGAAGGAAGCATGCAATATGAGGCACCAAGACACGAAATTGAAATAGCTAGTAAAAACCTCGTCACTGACCGTAATTTTTTGCTGCCCCTTGCTGCTGTGGGAGCGACCATGTGGATCCAGCACCCACTGCATCTCCTCTGGTGGTATACCACCGCCCGTGTCCTCACATGCCACCACCACCCACTCGCCCTCCTCCCTCGCCCTGCACGCCCCCTCCACCCACTCCCTCACCTCCTCCTCCAACCGCCCACCTCCCCCCTGCCTTTCCATGGGCGTGCTTGGATCTTCTGCGCCGCTCTGCTGCTTACAGGGCTGCCTCGCACCTTCGCCCTCCTCGTCCTTCCCAGGCGCCTCTGCAGCAGCGCCTCTATGCCTTTCTGATTCAACCATGAATTCCGTGCAACTGATTGAACACCTACCCAGCTCCTTGCACTCCCCATCCACCATACTTCCGCCACCTGTGTCCTGAGCTCCCCCAGATTTCCACCTCCTCCATCCACCGTCCCCTTGGCCTGCGTGGCCCCCCTGCCTCGCTGGCATGCGCTGAGGGAGGCACGCCAAGCGGGTGAGAGGAGGGAAGCGGCGCACACAAGCAGCCAGCTGATGCCACGCTGAGGAGGCTGGGGGGCCGGCTTGAGATGCAACAGAAAAGGTGGAAGGAGCAATGGCTGAAGCAGCAATGGCTGAAGCAGCTGAAGCAGTGGCAGCACGTTGAGAGGGAGGGATGCACCAGAGATGGATGGCCACATGGCCACATGCCGTGTTCTCCATGCCATGGGCTGCAGGAGAAAGCGGCGGGCGCAAGGGGGGGGGAGGAGGGGGGGACACAGAGAAGGGGGTTAATCGGCAAGGCTCGGACACATTATTCATGGGTCATTTACGGCCCTGCTTCCTTTCCCACATTCCTTGTAGTCCCAAGCACCTAAGACAGTGACGTGTTGTGTTCAATGCTTGATCACACGATGGGAAAGCAGATAGTTTCACACAATGGGAAAGCAGATAGTTTCACATGATGGGAAAGCAGATAGTTTCACACAATGGGAAAGCAGATAGTTTCACACGATGGGAAAGCAGATAGTTTCTCACAACGGGAAAGCAGATAGTTTCACACAATGGGAAAGCAGATAGTTTCGCACAATGGGAAAGCAGATAGTTTCACTTCACATGGAGCAGTTGCACGAGGGGCAGATGCACGAGGGGTAGCAGCTCCACAAAACAGCACCAGTAGTGTGGCCACGAATCATGTCAAATGACACTTTGGTGCACAGAAAGACCTTGGAAGGTGAATTTGAGACCACCGGGCGAACTCTCATTCAAGCGTGAAGAGGAATGCTCATTGCGAATTCAGGGTTGTGGCCCATGGAAGGAGACAGATGGCATGGCACTGTAGCCTCTGATTAAGATGGCCTCCGGTATGGCACAGCAAAGAGCACCTCCATTGTAGGATTATAAGAGATGAGTCCAGCAACGTCCGAACGAGTAGGTTGCAGGGAGCGGGACTCAATGGATTCAGACACTGTGGCTCAGTGGGGGAGAATGGAATAGTGAGTGGTGCTGAAGGCAATTGATGAAAGACGCAGGTGCAGCAAGAGTCAGCTTGACCCACTCCCTCACACCGTTCCAACCACTCTGTGCCGTGAGGCTCTCGCAGGCTAGCACAGCTGATCTCCAACTCCAAGCAGTCTGTCGCGGGGCACGGCACACGCGATGAGACCTCCAACCGTTTAGCATGCTAGGGTGATTGTTAGATTGTCCGTTGTAGCACGCTAGGATGTGTGTGAAACCGTTTCTATAACGTCCTTTTACCATTGTCATGCTCTGATTACCTCACTGATCTATGGCATGCTTCGCAATTTGCGTGGCCGACCACCCACGAAGTCCTTTCCCTTGCTCTCCCCGTGCTCCCCTCTCACCTGGCACTCACCGTTAAACTGTTGCTCATTACTCCATATCAACTTTAGCTTTGGCTCCATTCAACTTTACTTCAATGTATAATTAGCCACTGCTAGTATAGAATGGCGCACAGCGTAACGCCGTGGTAACATCAGAGAATCAGTGGTACCCGTGCGATATGGATATCTGGGAAAAAACGAATTACCTTATCGAGTATTCATCTGGTTCATATTCGTACTTGTAACAAACAACTCACCAACTAGCTCTGATATGACTTGAGAGAGCCGAGTTGGGTCGCCCAGTAGAGTTCCCGGAACGCTGTCATCCACATGCGATGTCACTGCCATGAACAAAAAAGGCTGGAGGGCCATGATGATTACACAAGGCCTTGAAGGCTAATGGTAAGAGCGACCCAAACGGATGCGAACAAACTTGTACCTTGCAAACTCGTCGCGCGTTTTCCTGGTCCAACAAGTGTGGTTGCCTCGTGCGCAATGCGGCGCAGGCAGCACGGCAGGATCTCGAGGTGCAGGCGGCCGGCCTGCAGCTTGGCGAGGTCCAGCACGCGGTTGATGAGGTCCACCGTCTCCCCCGCACACGCCCTCGCGTCCCTCAGGTCCGCCCGCTGCCACTCCTCCAACGCCGACTCCAGCAGCTCCTCTATCATGCCTGCGGGGGGGCAGGCATCAGAGGGGGCAGGCAGTACAAGGATCGCCATCAGAGGGGAGATGCAAGCAGTGGTGCATCGCAAGTGGCTCCTTCAGATTACTCGTAAGAACAAAGACTTAGGAAGTGATGGCGCATGCAGTCTCTCACACCTATCATGCCAATGATTGGGGTGCGCAGCTCATGAGAGACGTTGGCCACTGTCTCGCTCTTGCAGTGCTCGGCTCTCTCCAGAAATGCCGTGCACAGCTGGATCTCCTTAAGATCCTCTTCTCTCCGCCTCTGCTTCCAAGCCAGCACGGCAATCACGGCTGACAGCAACGCTGCCACTACCAGCACCAGCAGGCCCAGCAGCATGGGAGCATACACCAGATCCCAAGTAGGGGGGTCACCCTCAAACCTAAACATTCGAGGAGGGAGGGGGGTAGGAGGTAGAGGGGTAGACATCGAGGGGGAGAAAGAGAGACAGAGGTGGCTTGGGAGGAACAGCTAGTGGTGTATGTGGAGCCTGTCGTGATCCAAAATCTGGCAATACTTGAATAACGGACGCGACGAGAACCGATCCATTCCTGCAAAACCAGAACCCCAGAGCACACAGTGGGCTGAAGCACGCTGCACGCGAAGCCGCCCGACAAAAAGACAATGATCGAGCCGAGCCGTCCTGGTGACCGACTCGTGGCTCGTGAAAAGCGGATGAGCCGGGGGGGGGGGGGCTCGTGACGAGCCGGGGCGGCTCGCCATTGGCTTACTCCGTTTAGCTCGCCAGCTCAGCACAAACGGGCGCTTTGCCTGCCAAATCCACGCCACGCCGATGGCCTTTTCACCTGCCAGATCCTTGACGGGCCATGACGGCGGGCCCGGCTAGCCGCTTCGACACGCCGCGACGCGGCGAGCTGGGCGAGCGGCTGGATGAGCCAGCCACTAGCTCAGCCACTAGCTCAGCCACTAGCTCAGCCACTAGCTCAGCCACTAGCTCAGCCACTAGCTCAGCCACTAGCTCAGCCACTAGCTCAGCCACTAGCTCAGCCACTAGCTCAGCCACTAGCTCAGCCACTAGCTCAGCCACTAGCTCAGCCACTAGCTCAGCCACTAGCTCAGCCACTAGCTCAGCCACTAGCTCAGCCACTAGCTCAGCCACTAGCTCAGCCACTAGCTCAGCCACTAGCTCAGCCACTAGCTCCCACGCCCCTCTCAGCCACTAGCTCAGCCACTAGCTCAGCCACTAGCTCAGCCACTAGCTCAGCCACTAGCTCAGCCACTAGCTCAGCCACTAGCTCAGCCACTAGCTCAGCCACTAGCTCAGCCACTAGCTCAGCCACTAGCTCAGCCACTAGCTCAGCCACTAGCTCAGCCACTAGCTCAGCCACTAGCTCAGCCACTAGCTCAGCCACTAGCTCAGCCACTAGCTCAGCCACTAGCTCAGCCACTAGCTCAGCCACCTCAGCCCACTCAGCCACTAGCTCAGCCACTAGCTCAGCCACTAGCTCAGCCACTAGCTCAGCCACTAGCTCAGCCACTAGCTCAGCCACTAGCTCAGCCACTAGCTCAGCCACTAGCTCAGGCCCACTAGCTCAGCCACTAGCTCAGCCACTAGCTCAGCCACTAGCTCAGCCACTAGCTCCCACAGCTCCCACTAGCTCAGCCACTAGCTCAGCCACTAGCTCAGCCACTAGCTCAGCCACTAGCTCAGCCACACTCAGCTCTCAGCCACTAGCTCAGCCACTAGCACCACTAGCTCAGCCCACTAGCTCAGCCACTAGCTCAGCCACTATAGCTCAGCCACTAGCTCAGCCACTAGCTCAGCCACTAGCTCAGCCACTAGCTCAGCCACTAGCTCAGCCACTAGCTCAGCCACTAGCTCAGCCACTAGCTCAGCCACTAGCTCAGCCACTAGCTCAGCCACTAGCCTCAGCCACTAGCTCAGCCACTAGCTCAGCCCACTAGCTCCAGCCCACTTAGCTCAGCCACTAGCTCCACAGCTCAGCCACTAGCTCAGCCACTAGCTCAGCCACTAGCTCAGCCACTAGCTCAGCCACTAGCTCAGCCACTAGCTCAGCCACTAGCTCAGCCACTAGCTCAGCCACTAGCTCAGCCCCCACTAGCTCAGCCACTAGCTCAGCCACTAGCTCAGCCACTAGCTCAGCCACTAGCTCAGCCACTAGCTCAGCCCACTAGCTCAGCCACTAGCTCAGCCACTAGCTCAGGCCCACTAGCTCAGCCACTAGCTCAGCCACTAGCTCAGCCACTAGCTCAGCCACTAGCTCAGCCACTAGCTCAGCCACTAGCTCAGCCACTAGCTCAGCCACTAGCTCAGCCACTAGCTCAGCCACTAGCTCAGCCACTAGCTCAGCCACTAGCTCAGCCACTAGCTCAGCCACTAGCTCAGCCACCTAGCTCAGCCACTAGCTCAGCCACTAGCTCAGCCCCCCACTAGCTCAGCCACTAGCTCAGCCACTAGCTCAGCCACTAGCTCAGCACAGCCACCTAGCTCAGCCACTAGCTCAGCCACTAGCTCAGCCACTAGCTCAGCCACTAGCTCAGCCACTAGCTCAGCCACTAGCTCAGCCACTAGCTCAGCCACTAGCTCAGCCACTAGCTCAGCCACTAGCTCAGCCACTAGCTCAGCCACTAGCTCAGCCACTAGCTCAGCCACTAGCTCAGCCACTAGCTCAGCCACTAGCTCAGCCACTAGCTCAGCCACTAGCTCAGCCACTAGCTCAGCCACTAGCTCAGCCACTAGCTCAGCCACTAGCTCAGCCACTAGCTCAGCCACTAGCTCAGCCCACTAGCTCAGCCACTAGCTCAGCCACTAGCTCAGCCACTAGCTCAGCCACTAGCTCAGCCACTAGCTCAGCCACTAGCTCAGCACTAGCTCAGCCACTAGCTCAGCCACTAGCTCAGCCACCTAGCTTCAGCCACTAGCTCAGCCACTAGCTCAGCCACTAGCTCAGCCACTAGCTCAGCCACTAGCTCAGCCACTAGCTCAGCCACTAGCTCAGCCACTAGCTCAGCCACTAGCTCAGCCACTAGCTCAGCCACTAGCTCAGCCACTAGCTCAGCCACTAGCTCAGCCACTAGCTCAGCCACTAGCTCAGCCACTAGCTCAGCCACTAGCTCCAGCCACTAGCTCAGCCACTAGCTCTAGCCACTAGCTCAGCCACTAGCTCAGCCCACTAGCTCAGCCCCACTAGCTCAGCCACTAGCTCAGCCACTAGCTCAGCCACTAGCTCAGCCACTAGCTCAAGCCACCTAGCTCAGCCACTAGCTCAGCCACTAGCTCAGCCCACTAGCTCAGCCACTAGCTCAGCCACTAGCTCAGCCACTAGCTCCAGCCACTAGCTCAGCCAACTAGCTCAGCCACTAGCTCAGCCACTACTCAGCCACTAGCTCAGCCACTAGCTCAGCCACTAGCTCAGCCACTAGCTCAGCCACTAGCTCAGCCACTAGCTCAGCCACTAGCTCAGCCACTAGCTCAGCCACTAGCTCAGCCACTAGCTCAGCCACTAGCTCAGCCACTAGCCTCAGCCACTAGCTCAGCCCCCACCTAGCTCAGCCACTACTCAGCCACTAGCTCAGCCACTAGCTCAGCACTAGCTCAGCCACTAGCTCAGCCACTAGCTCAGCCACTAGCAGCCACTACTCAGCCACTAGCTCAGCCACTAGCTCCAGCGCACTAGCTCAGCCACTAGCTCAGCCACTAGCTCAGCCACTAGCTCAGCCACTAGCTCAGCCACTAGCTCAGCCACTAGCTCAGCCACTAGCTCCAGCCACTAGCCAGCCACTAGCTCAGCCACTAGCTCAGCCACTAGCTCAGCCACTAGCTCAGCCACCTAGCTCAGCCACTAGCTCAGCCACTAGCTCAGCCACTAGCTCAGCCACTAGCTCAGCCACTAAAGCTCAGGCCACTAGCTCAGCCACTAGCTCAGCCACTAGCTCAGCCACTAGCTCAGCCACTAGCTCAGCCACTAGCTCAGCACTAGCTCAGCCACTAGCTCAGCCACTAGCTCAGCCACTAGCTCAGCCACTAGCTCAGGCCACTAGCTCAGCCACTAGCTCAGCCACTAGCTCAGCCACTAGCTCAGCCACTAGCTCAGCCACTAGCTCAGCCACTAGCTCAGCCACTAGCTCAGCCACTAGCTCAGCCACTAGCTCAGCCACTAGCTCAGCCACTAGCTCAGCCACTAGCTCAGCCACTAGCTCAGCCACTAGCTCAGCCACTAGCTCAGCCACTAGCTCAGCCACTAGCTCAGCCACTAGCTCAGCCACTAGCTCAGCCACTAGCTCAGCCACTAGCTCAGCCACTAGCTCAGCCACTAGCTCAGCCACTAGCTCAGCCACTAGCTCAGCCACTAGCTCAGCCACTAGCTCAGCCACTAGCTCAGCCACTAGCTCAGCCACTAGCTCAGCCACTAGCTCAGCCACTAGCTCAGCCACTAGCTCAGCCACTAGCTCAGCCACTAGCTCAGCCACTAGCTCAGCCACTAGCTCAGCCACTAGCTCAGCCACTAGCTCAGCCACTAGCTCAGCCACTAGCTCAGCCACTAGCTCAGCCACTAGCTCAGCCACTAGCTCAGCCACTAGCTCAGCCACTAGCTCAGCCACTAGCTCAGCCACTAGCTCAGCCACTAGCTCAGCCACTAGCTCAGCCACTAGCTCAGCCACTAGCTCAGCCACTAGCTCAGCCACTAGCTCAGCCACTAGCTCAGCCACTAGCTCAGCCACTAGCTCAGCCACTAGCTCAGCCACTAGCTCAGCACTAGCTCAGCCACTAGCTCAGCCACTAGCTCAGCCACTAGCTCAGCCACTAGCTCAGCCACTAGCTCAGCCACTAGCTCAGCCACTAGCTCAGCCACTAGCTCAGCCACTAGCTCAGCCACTAGCTCAGCCACTAGCTCAGCCACTAGCTCAGCCACTAGCTCAGCCACTAGCTCAGCCACTAGCTCAGCCACTAGCTCAGCCACTAGCTCAGCCACTAGCTCAGCCACTAGCTCAGCCACTAGCTCAGCCACTAGCTCAGCCACTAGCTCAGCCACTAGCTCAGCCACTAGCTCAGCCACTAGCTCAGCCACTAGCTCAGCCACTAGCTCAGCCACTAGCTCAGCCACTAGCTCAGCCACTAGCTCAGCCACTAGCTCAGCCACTAGCTCAGCCACTAGCTCAGCCACTAGCTCAGCCACTAGCTCAGCCACTAGCTCAGCCACTAGCTCAGCCACTAGCTCAGCCACTAGCTCAGCCACTAGCTCAGCCACTAGCTCAGCCACTAGCTCAGCCACTAGCTCAGCCACTAGCTCAGCCACTAGCTCAGCCACTAGCTCAGCCACTAGCTCAGCCACTAGCTCAGCCACTAGCTCAGCCACTAGCTCAGCCACTAGCTCAGCCACTAGCTCAGCCACTAGCTCA